GATAATGCGATACGTAGTTTACATCATTTTATAAAAATGATGTTGGTGCCGCTAGCGTACGGTGGCTTTCGCCTATGGGCCCGCGCACAAAGATGGTCGCAACTGAGTCGTAGTCGTAAGTCGTTGTCGTAGATCAACGCACAAGGATTTTACGTATGTCGTTTACGTATATCCTATTGCGCCAGTTCTTTGCGTCAACTAACGCAATAGGATATACGTAAACGACATACGTAAAATCCATGTGCGTGACCTACGACAACGACTTACAACTACGACTCAGTTGCGACCATCTTTGTGCGCGGACCCTATCACGCGAAAAAGGCCGCCATGGCCTCTCTCAGGTTTCTCTCTGGTATAGGTTACGTATATTGTAGCAGTGTTGCCAGATGCTAGGGAATTTCCCTAAATCTAGGGAGAATTACAAGAAAAAAAATGAAATAGGGAAAAAGGGATTTTTTGTGAAAATAAGTTAAAATTTAGGGATTTTTAACAGTAAATGAAAATTTTGTTTTATGCTCGGTTTCGGTCGATAAGTAGGTGACAACTCACCACGTGTCCGAATCGCGCTGATTGACTTGGGCTTGGGGCATATCGGCGTATGGCGCTCAGGTCGGACATGTTTTTATTTCGGTTCAGGTGTTACATCATATTTTTGAAAAATGTAACTGATTTTAACCGTGCTCTTATCGTTGATCTTCCTGAGACAGGTGTAGGCGTGTGTGCAGGTATGTACCAGTTAATTAAGAAGAAAAAGAAGAAGTATGTACATACGCACGGGGACACAAATGCCTTAACATCCGAAGTTGCACGCGTATCGGAGAAGGCATGAAAAAGCATGTTAAGGCATTAACGTGTGTACATAAAATGAGTCAAAATAGTATAATTTAAAATGAGATAGTATATATAAGAAGAAATAGTATAAAAAGAAACAGTATATAGACTCCTTTTTCATTCTTGTTTTTCTTCTTTTTTATTTTTGTTTTATTCTTCTTTTTTACTCTTGGTTTAATAAAAGTGCATGTAGCTTAACTTTGTTATAGAGTCTCTATCCAGTTTATCCTTATACATTATTAGATTTATTAGTATTAGATTTATGTTAAAATCATAGAAAATGATTATTTGTTTTTTTAAATCTAATAAATGTACAATAAAAATATATTATTCATTAATTTATAGTACTTATTATATATTTTCCTTTATATGTGTGTTCTGTTTCATATTTATTATAATTCCAAATTGTAATACATTAATAAAAAATAATTCATGATTTTATTTGAATAAAATTTGTAAAGAAACAAAAATTTTGTGAATTTAAGAGAAATTTGGGAAATTAGTGGAAAATTTGGAAAAAACAAGAATTTTATGAATTAAATGGAAAACTAGGGAAAACTAGGGAAATTTTCATGTCCCAATAGGGAAACTGCTTCGCCAGAATCTGGCAACAATTGTAGCGTTTTCCTAGTTTTTCCTATACTTTTCTTTTCAAGGGTACTTTCCAGCAAGAGACTCAAATAACACAGTGTATCATAGTGAATTATAAAGCTGTAAATACCAAAGTAGATACATCAAATATCTTAAACTGAACTGAAATGCCGACAACTTTCTTATTGACTATTTTGACCGTCATTTTCGACCTAGTGGTCTGTAGTCCAAGCGCTTAATATTATTAGTAAATGGCATGCTTAATAAGTGGACAATGGAAGACCTTTGCACTACTTTAGTATATCTAGAGTTTTACAGTGAATCATTATACATCCCAAAAGTGTATGCAATGCCTGTTAATGACCTTAAATCATTAAAACAAAGAATTGTGCAAGCATGTGAAAAAATTACAGACGCGCAATGTCAGCCACTCGTTCTTTCATCGATAGATGTAATGCTTGTCTCCGGGCTGGAAGTCATCACTTTGAACAAAATATTTAATAATTAAATTTTGATATTGTAAAGCAATAAAGAGGACAAACCTTATTTCATTATTTTTTCGACGTTATTCATTCCTACAGTTCTGTATATAATTTTAGAAATAAATATCTCTTGAACGAAGCATTTGCGAGCATACGTCCAGAGGAAAATTTTTGTTTGTTTTGAGGGCCTGAATTCATATTTTAAATTTGCAGTTTAACATCCTGTATATCGATTGGAATTACTGCGCTTACGCATGTTAGATTGATGCGCACATTAATCGTACTTTAATCGACACATATTGATATGAAATAGCTAAAATAATATAAAAATTACACTGCATCATATTATAATATTTAAATCTCCTCCTTTTTATCCTTTTCTATCCTTACATTTTTTTATATTTGTTTTATATGTTAAATATTAAATTAATCGATCAATCTTTTTGTGATAGGTCGATATTTCGAGAATAGTAATTCTCAAATAGAGGGATAGCTTAAATTTTAACTTATAACATCCTACCCAAAATTATAAAGTAAATTAAAAATTTCAAAAGCGTATATATATA